GGGCTGGCCAAAGCAGCACGCCTGGGACCTGCAGATCATCAGCACCTACCGGGATCATATCAAGGGTGAGAGCATCTACCAGATGCTCTGCCAGGCCATCACTGCCACCCGCACTGTCCATGCCGTGCTGGGGACAGCTGAGTTCTTTGAGTTCGCCCTGAAGAACCCATACACCGTCCAGCACACCGTCACCATCGAGGTCGACCACCCAGAGCTCAGGTATGGCTGAAGGGGGGTTTCCCCTGTGTGTGGGGACATGCCAGGGTGGTATCAGTTCCCAACCAGTCCTCACCAGCACCTCTGCTGCTTGTCCCCCCAGTGTCATACTGGATTCGAGGGAGTGGCGCCACTTCAAGGAGCTGACCAAGAGTGTTACGCCAGTGGAGGAGGAGATGTTCCATCTCCGTGATGACCTCAAACCTCAGGTCTACCTGCGCCCCAGTGAGACTGTTCACATCCCCTTCAAATACCAGACCTTCTCTGCAGACCCTGCCGTTGTGGCAGCACAGGTAGGCACGGGCCCGTTTTCAGCTGTTCCCAGTAGGAAGCATTCCCCTTGGCGGTGTTTGCCGACACAGAGCAGGGTGGTACAGCCACAGGTGCTGTGCAGCCACAGCGATGCTGTGTCCTGAGGCAATCCACTCCTGCACCCCACAGGGTCCGGCCGGACTCGGCACCAGTGCCAAAGTGGAGACCCAGTCCCTCGGGAAGAACGGGACTGGGCGGACAAAGCTCATTCAGGTTAGGGAGCTGGGCGAAACGCCGCTCGAGGGGCTGCATGGGAGGAGCAGCATCACTGGAAACCCCATCTCTCTCCCGCCGCCCCTGGGGCAGGTCTCCTTCCAGGTGAGTGGGGGAAAGCCCATCGCACTCCTGCGGGTGAAGGTAGAGCCACAGCCCCACGTGGTGGACCAGACCTTCCGCTTCTACCACCCAGAGCTCACCTTCCTGAAGAAAACCATTCGGCTGCCTCCCTGGCACACCCTCCCTGGTGAGTCCACGGCATGCCTGGTGGGGTTCAGGCTCTTCCTTGTTAGTCAACATCTGTGCTTCATGAGGCCTTCCTGGAGGCACAGCAGCCAGAGAGCACATCGCTGCTTCCTCACCCCTTTGCAGCCCCGGGCTCCTTCCTGCCCTCCATCCACCTTCCTCCATTAGCGTTACCTGAAATTCCCTGCACCGGTGGTTTGCTGGGAGCCCAGCACACGGGGCTCTGTCTGCGGCTGCGTGGGGCACAGGGAGCAGCACAGGCAGGGGAAGGGCTGAGTGTGGTTTGCTCTTGGTCTGCAGGCACACCAGTGGGGGTACCAGCGGGGCAGCCCGAGATGTTTGTTCGCTGCAGTGACCCTGACATCATCTGTGAAACCAAAGCCTTGGTATGTTACCTGTCGGCATCGCTGTCCTTTGTCCTCCTCCTGTGGGTTGTTTTGGTTGGCAGAGAGTGCCAACATGGATGCAACCATGGAGCATCCCCAGTTACCGCCCAGTGGCAGTGACAGTGGCAGCAGCGAAGCTGGAATTGTATTCCCAGTTAAAAGGAGACACATGGTTTTGGCGGGGAGTGACAGTGGCAGCAGCAAAGCTGGAATTGTATTCCAAATTAAAAGGAGACACATGGTTTTGGCGGGGGAGGCTGGGCATTGCCCCTTATCGCATTGCACAGCAGCCTGTGCTCGCTTGTTCTTTTGAGCAAGTACCAGATGATTCAGACTCTGGGGAAGAGCAGCCTTTTGTCGGGCTGGGATAGATCTTTCTGCCGCGTGGGGTGTCCGCAGCGGTGTGCAGTGAGATGGTGTGTCCTCAGGGTGCACAGCAAAGCCTGTCCCTGCCGAGGGTGCTGGGGCAGTGGGGCAGCGCTGTGCCCAGCCCCACTCTGCCCCCTCCCCGAACGGGAGGCTTTCCTGTGCTGGCTCTGCAGGCTGGGGGAAGTGGAAGGGAAAAATAAACTTGGGCATGTCCGTGCAGATGGCGATGAGGGATAGTTGCTAATTGCTGTTGCAAAAATGCGTTAGTATGGTAATTGGATTAGGGCTTGTTAGAAAACTTGCGGAAAATTTGCCAAAATTTGATTACAGATGCAGACCTGGAATATGATAGTCATTTGTATCCTCTTTTGTAATTAAAAATACTGGAAGGACTCAGCCAAGCTGTATAATAACTCAATAACATAGTTTAACGAGGTGCTGAAAGCATCTGCTCTTGTAAGGGGGTTGGTGGCAAGTTTCTCCATTAATGGGAAGACACCCCTGCGGTCCTTGTTAGCTGCTCTTGGGGTCAGCTGCTGTGATGATGCTCTGGTGTCTGTGAGCGGGGGCCGGGGGAGCCACAGGATATCTTCCTGAAAGTAGCTGGAGGACCAAGCCCGCAAATCAAAAAGTTCTTTGTGGCCATTTATACGTAAGTAGCAGGACCCCGAAGGGTGAGGAACACTGACCCCAAAGGGGTGAGGAATGCTGACCCCCGCAGTGTGTGATGAGTCTGTCTGTCTGTGCACAGGGACACCTGGCTGGCAGCACGGGGGAGCCACAGGATATCTTCCTGAAAGTAGCTGGAGGACCAAGCCCGCAAATCAAAAAGTTCTTTGTGGCCATTTATACGTAAGTAGCAGGACCCCGAAGGGTGAGGAACACTGACCCCAAAGGGGTGAGGAATGCTGACCCCCGCAGTGTGTGATGAGTCTGTCTGTCTGTGCACAGGGACACCTGGCTGGCAGCACCTGTCCAGATCTGGCAGTTCTACCTGCACTCCCTGCAGCGCCTGGACGTCAGCTGCACGGCCGGGCAGCTCACCCGGCTCTCCCTGCTGCTGCGCGGCACCGCGGCCCCGC